AGCCTAATTAATAGCGATGGCCTCCAGCCTAATTAATAGCGATGGCCTCCAGCCTAATCAATAGCGATGGCCTCCAGCCTATATAATTAACAGCGATGGCCTCCAACCTAATAGCGATGGCCTCCAACCTAGTAGCGTCCCTTCCTCTCGCAAAGAAAAACAAAAACGCGCCGTTACGATCAGTTCACAAGCCCGTTGCGATTGGGCGGTGATGTGCCGATGTGCCCCGACGATCTGACAAAAAACAAGGTAAGGTAGGTAGTTTAAGTGTGCACAGCAGTTCATAGAATAGAGTTCCTCAGGGTGCTGCCATGAAAGGTTCAATATATACAAACAACATGGTACGAATAAGAACCAACGCAAACAATATTCTGCCAAACTGGGCGTCTCAGACTAGGATTTTACGCAAGTGCCGACCTTCATTTTCACTTTCAATATGGTTGCTGCAACAATTTGCTTTCGTGTCAATTTACCCAAACCCAGTTGCGGCTACCGCAGAGACCACCTGAGATGGCAACATCCAAGGGCAAAGTGGTGTTGGCAAAGTAAGCATGCATGTCGCAATAAATGAGACCATGACCACACGACATTCCCAGGCAAACAACCTCATACAGTAGAATGCATGAACAGGAATGCATGTGAGCTTTCTTGTTTGCTTTGTGAAACTGCTGCCCTCATCTTCCCTAGTGCTGGTACGAGTGGTCTTGAATCGCTAAGCCTATAGATTGCGAGCTCTGGTTTGTTTGTTGCCACGTGTTGGCACCAGTTGTGAACCACTTCTCAAGCACCTGTTACCCAAGGCCACCTCGAAGTCCGCAAGCTGGCTTAACATAGCGCGGTGCAGCTGCAGATTCCTTCGGAAGACCAAAGCAGCAACAAGTCCTGTGCTGAAGAAACTCTGTTGAGTGCGGTTTGGCTGCAAACAGGCAATGATTGAAGTCCTGTAAGATCTTGACGAAAAAAAAAGGAGCAGGGACAATACGAACTCGTTGCGTGAAGAACATATCCTTACGTAAGGTAATTGTACGCATCAAACGTTCACATCATGTCCTTCTCTATTTTTGTACAGAGTGTGAGGTATTTGTTGGACTTGGATGAACAACCCTACAATACAATCTGATAAAGACGCACCAAAGAAGGAGCTAGTCGGAAAAAGGACATACAAAGGAAGAGGTAGTCTTCAGAAAGGCAGGTCGGGAAAAGTTATGAACGAATTGGTATGTGCAGTTTACATGGAACCCTGAACTGTCAGCTGCCATTCACTCCTGCAGGCATATAGGCCAAGGAATTGTAGAAGTGGTACACGATGTTTCTCATGAAGTAGGATTGGTAGGAGCCATCAACGCTGGGTATTCCACTGGAATCGACCACCCACCAAAGGGAGAAAATCCGAATGCTCATCCAATCAATGAGAATGATCAAAAGTAGCCAGGGTGCCAGCCACAAGGGCAGCATCACCACAGCCTGACGGTCGGTGTGCTTCTTGAGGTTGCCTTGCTTGAGTCTTTTTGCGCAAAAATGAAACTTACAGTAATTACCACTGCATTTGGACAATAAGTTTACGGAGGACTTATCCATATCACACCTGCAACATCAATAAAGTGCAAATGAGTTGCACCACATACGCTCAAAGTAGGTACGGTCCCAAAGCACAAGCATCTGAGAAGACGCCTTCAAATACTCCGGCAAGCGCCTCACGCACTCCTCTTTCACTACTTCATCTGCTTGTGGAATACAAATCTTGTCCAGCCACAGCGAGGGGGAGCACCGTCCGCATGCCAAGACATGGCCATAGAAGAAGAATATGAAAAATACGACCACAGGAAGGTCTACTGTGAGTGGCAGCAAAGCCGGACTCCCAGAGAGAGCATCAGGGCCACCTGCCAGTAAAACAAGAACGAGACCAAATATTGCAAAGGTCAGAAAGGCAACCTTGATGGCAATGTTCACGTTCAGGTGATAGCAAAGTGCTAGGTATTTTTGGTAACCCTCTGCTCCCCAAGAGTGGCTGATGAAAAGGTCGACATTTTGTGCCTCAAAGGTCTCCATGTGACTTCTAGCCGCATCATGTCCGCTCGTGAAGACCTCGCCGAAATTGGTCAACACCTGGGCTGCAGTAGCCGCCCTCAAAGCTGCAGCTCTGTGCGGCCGCATGGGCTGGAGCTCTAGCCGCCACGGTTGAAAATGATGTCGTTGCACTGGGCTTTACATGGCTATACAATTTCTATGGCTTGGAAGGCCAAAGTTGACCCTCTGGTTGTACTTATGCTTTGGTCAGGGTAATCGGGAAATGGACATGCCTCCAACAGACCTGAAACCTATCAATTCCATGTCCCGTGAAGCATGGCTGCCTTGAGTAAGCTGCCTGCTGGAGAAAGAATACACCATAGCCATAGCCAATAGGATCCATTTAAAACGAACCCAAGTGATTCTAACTTCCCAACTACCGTGATCTGAGGCAAAGAAATTGGCCGCGTGGAACATCATGGAACCCTGCACATCATCCACAAAACACTCCAGCTCGGTGACCATGGGTGACCGTGAACAGTTTCTCCTTTGGGCTTCAAACAGGGGGAGGGTCGTCCTTGGAGAAGCCATCGACTCCTGACAAAGGTCCAAGAAACATTACCAACCCATTCCGGCTTCGCGTGGTCCGCCCCCGACCCGAAGACTCGGAGATGATCTTCCAAACCAAGTTCTTTTACGCGAACAGTTTTGGGTAGTAGTGCAGCTATGGGGAGCTGTTGGCCGGGTCTGTGGATCTGTCTGCCTCCAAAACTGGTAACCCTGCCTTCCCATTTGAAGGTCACAGCAAGCTCGTAGCACAACAAGCGCCTCGGTTTCGCAGCAAAATTAAGGCAAAAACTTCCAGCCAACTGGTCAGTGCGCAAGTAAAACGTACAATTGAGCCTGACTGGGTGCTGCCGAAAGAACAGCCTTGGTTCGTGTCAAATGATCATACGCACCATGAGCTCGTCTCCGACTACAAAGATTTGAGTTACTGATAGTTACTGTAAATCGGCGGGAAAAATGGAACGAATGTGAAAGTGAACAACATTAGAATATTCTTTGAACACTTTTGAAGCATATGCAGCAGCATGTATAGTAGGTTCAGAAATTCAAGCTGTTTTCATCTGTTTTCCTCATCCTTCCTTCGCGCTTCCTCGTGGCAGTCAGTCTTTGGGGAAATGGAAGAAGTCGCTCGCCTTGGTTGCTTTATCCTCCCGCTTTGGTGATGTCACACCCCCTGAACGCATGTTCCAATGAAGAGTGAAGAGCATTTGCAGCCCTTACATCCCATTATCGTTCTGTCTGTCCCCCAATGCAACAGCTACTGTTTGCCTTGTCCTTATTGATCCACAGTACCTTAATCATACATCACTTTTGACTTCCCAGCTATGACAGAGAGGGAATTGTGGGACAGGACAGCAAACCACACTGCATATAAAAATACTGTACCAAACGTCCGGAAAACATTTGACTCTGCATGGCGCAGTAATTACGCGGTGAAGCCTCTACATACGTCACAGGTTTTGGTTCCAAACAGTAGGACCAACTGCTCCTCTCAAGAATTGACCATGTATGCATTCTTTCTGAAAAGGGCATATACTACTCCGCAACAGTAGCATATACATATATATATAATATAGATAATATACCCTGTTCAAACTCTTTTGTCTAGTCTACTCTGCTCACTCCCTCGAAACAGATCCGTTCACAATAGTCATCAGCCCGCCATGTCCATCTGGGGCGTTCCACTTCTTCTTTCGAAGTGCAAAGCTGGCGTCGCCTCGAAAATCAGGCGGACTCGAACACTAGTCCCAAAAATCCACGTTTATCCTCAATACATTGCCGTTGGTTTGGTTAGGCCTCTGTTGGCTACATCAACAGCACTTCCTTCATGATCTAGTCAATGAATTATACGTACTTCAAGAGATGCACATATTACATTGAATGATTCGTTTGTAACAAGTAGTTGTGGAGACACAAACAATTGTACAAGCAACTATGTTTTCAAATACATCTTCAAGCGCGGCGTGGTTTCCTTGTAGTACACTTCTGATGTCCTCATTGCTGCAACACCACACATGGAGCAAACATGTCCTCCTGTGTCTTAGCAAGGACATCCCCAAAGCAATACAGGTCCAAGGATGAAAAGGGGCAACGTGAGGGCTAGGTTAGTGGCTGGGGATTCATGAACAGTTCTGGCAGTTCTTCTTCTCCAAGTTTCCGTTGGTTTGTTTCAACATGTTTCAACTGTTTTCATGTGATCTCATGCAATCAAGGTGTTTTCGCCGCGTAGCACAATATCAACAACTAAGAACTAAAATATTTCCAGGTGTTTTATTGCAAACTGCACAGGGCAGGGGCGGCAATATGTGTTTTGATTGTTTTTGCATCCTTTTGGAACATTTTGTTGGTTTTGCTGGGTTGCTACTTGTGGGGGTTTAGGAAGGTTCCCAGCAGTGTAGTCGCCTGGTACCTCTGAGGAACGTGCAGTTTTTCAGCAGGAGGGGGCTTGCCACAAAGTGCTGCTTAAGGGAGAGGCCCCAGGATTAGGGAAACCAAAACACCAATGGAACAAATGACCAAAGGACCAAGAAACCGAAAACCAAGAAGCGCCAAGAAAACCAAAAACCACAGAAGCAACCGGTAGGACAAAAAAAAATCCCCAAACAGGAAAAGCAACATGCAATCAATTGGTCTGCGAGGTGGTTGCTGCTGGTGTGCCTGCCTGGTTGAACCCAACTTGGCGATGTCCTTCCATCTCAGTCCTTCCAGGCCTTTCACTTGCACCTCTTTGAAGCGCATGCTACAACCTGAGAGCTCTGGCACCTGAGAGGAGTCGCAATTCTCTTGGACTCTTGGATTCCCTGACAAAACAAATGCAAAGAAATACTTATGATTAGCTGTGGCTCAATGGCAAGGGCAAAACGACTAAAACCGCTCTTGGTCTCTGAGTCTCGCAGTATATATATATATATATTATATTCTATACTGTATATATATTTCTTGATTTACATCCAAATGGTGCATTTGTAAAGGGGTTCGTATTTAGTTTAGGATTTGTTTGTCTATTTTTGTGATGTTTTTCGCTTTTCGTAGCAAGTGCAATACTTTGCGGACCTTGAAGTGCAGATTTCGTGTCAGGTGCAGTACTTTGTGGTCCTTGAAGTGCAAATTTTGTGGCAGGTGCAGTACTTTGTGGACCTTGAAGTGCAGATTTTGTAGCAGGCGCAGTACTTTGTGGGCCTTGAAGTGCAAATTTCGTGGCCGGCGCAGTACTTTGTGGACCTTGAAGTGCAGATTTCGTGGTAGGCGCAGTACTTTGTGAACCTGGCAGGTGCAGCACTTTTTGAACTTGGAAGTGCAAATACAGAGAAATAGATAGAGAGAGAGATATAGTGAAAGAGAAAGAGAAGAGAGAAATAGATAGATAGATAAGTCGATATAGATAGATGAGACAGATGAGTAGATAGATAGACAGTTAGATGGGTAGGTAGACAGATATAAAGACAAATGGATAGACCAGTGCGGAAAGAAGCTATGTTGAAAGTTGGGTGAGGTCGAAGTGGCCCTCAGCTTCCACCATTGTGGGGTTTTGCAGGTCATGTGCCGTTAGACATGTTCATATTAGCACCAAAGATAAACAGCTAAAGCCTTGAAAGCCTCTTTGTGGCGTTGTCACAGCTAAGAGAAGGCGGGCCTTATCATCCACCTTTTTGGCGTTGTCAATGCAAAGAAGATAGTGGTTTTGGTACTTAGTTGTCCCGTAGCAATCATGTAAATCAAGAAAGCGGGAGGGGCGCGCGGGAGGGCGCAGCGCCTGCCCCGCAATGAAAACAAAGTATCTGACCATCCCGGCACTGAGGGCAAGCGCCGGAATTTAAAGGTCTGCACCGTTGGACTGGCACTTTCCTCATCTAAATTCTACCTGGTGGCTTACAAACGGTTTGCACCTTCCTCCTCTAAATTTGACCTTCAAAAGCCACAAGCCACAAGCCACACGCCTCAGAAGCCCTCGTCCTTGCTTCCTTCCTGCGTTCCTTCCTTCCCTCCTTTCCTTCGCATAGGCTAGAATCCACGAAAGCCCAAAGCCACAGAAGCCAGAAGCTGCGCAAAAATATATATGAAAAAACTACGTAACATTAAAACAACAAAAACAAAAGCTAAATTAAATCGTACTCCTTTATAAATCCCCACATGAACCGTCCTAGAATCCAGTATTATCTGAGGTGTTGCTGCTCAAAGACCCCTGCAGGATGCCTGAGATAAAGATCAGTGCCATACTGCCAAAGGGTCAGAGGCTGAGGTCGACAGGTTCAGTTAGTTCTGCTCAGGTTTAGTTCGCGAGAGCAACCCTCCATGAACGCCCTGCCAAACCAGAGTCTTCCCCAACAAAATCTTTTGGACCCTGCCATGGTAGTTGTGACTCCTCCTTCGCACAGAAAGGTTGCTGCATCCTAGTCTCAGGAGGAGCCACGCTTCAGAATACCGTCCATTGCATTGCAGAATGGGAATGTGTTGGCATAGTAGTGATGTGATTGAGTACTCACATCCAAACCAGGATTTGGACTATCTACTGGGGTGCCTCGGAGTTTTCACCTATATATCCATGATACTATCCATGGCCATGATGTGCAATCCCCAATGAATACAGCTGGGGGCACCGTATAGGAAGGCCTTGGCGTAGTCATTCCAATCCGAACATGCCTCTGGAACCCAAGGATTAAATTTATAGCTTCACTGTGTGAAAAACAAACAACATCAAACAACTGGATTGTCCAGAGGAGCAGCTTATATACACGTACAAGAAATTGCCATCCTACGGAGCTCAAGCCCTCCAACACGATGGTCCAATTGCCCACTTCCAAGTTTTCACAGCGCTGCAAGCCATGTGGTTGGACAGTTCATCCTGTACCCGGGTACCCGAAATCCCTATCGTGCTACCAACAGTGACAGGGACTAGTGAGCCTGCGAATATGCGCAGGATGGACTGCAGCACTCATCCGTCGCATCTGTTTTATTCCACTCTATTCCTGAAACAAGCTTCTTTAGCATCTTTTAAATGCAGCTGATCTTGACCCCCAAGGGCAAAACTGCTCTCGAGCTTGGGCCTTCCGGGTGACTCCAATTGTTTACAACTTCTAATGATGGTTTAAATGTTTTTGGACGATTACGAACGGTGGAAAAGAGTATGTTCTGTAGTTGAGAGGAATGGCTCAAGAAGTATGGTCAATCCATCCAGT